TTAAAGGACATCAATTCCCATTCTGTTGATTGTTTACAGCGTCCAAACGCAATAGACGTTTGGCAACTATTAGGGATTGCTGAATGTGTGGAAACTCATTGCCGAAAAGAAAAAGTTCTGGAATGTTGCATGGTGATAAACGAGCCACTCGACAAATTAATCTGAATTTAATTTTCATGGTATTGATTTAAGGATTCGCTGCTTTTCTTTGTTGTAAGGTGTGGATACTAAACAAGTTAGATAGTTGAGTGACAGTGAATGACAAGAGTGGCAAATTAAAATGAAACTATTATTAATGATAATGATTCGAAGGTTTGACGCCTCACTGTGTTATAAGGGGACAAATTGAAATTAAAATTTGCTGTCACCTATCAGTGTACCTTGTACAATGCATTTTATTAATTCATAGTACTTTTAGCCGAATGTTCCTCCGTAGACTCGTTGACATCCAAACCGCGCCCATCACAACCCATCGCCGTGCTCGAGACAGTATGTAATATATGCATCTTCACAACTCATTTTTAGCAACCAGGATATGAAATTAAATTCCTCCTTGAGTTGGTGGGAAAACTATCTTCCGGGTGATTCCAATGGTTTGACTTCCGTTTTGCCGAGCCATCTGTGCAAAATTATGCAATATTTTTCATTTCACTGCATGTCCAACAGCCAGGACCTATCTAATCTGTCACAATTCGCGTGCCAGATAATGCCTTTGGAGCTGACGCGGACTTCTGACTCGAGCATGGCCTTGGGTGAATGAATCCACAGCAGGGGCTTTCATTTAATTCGCTTCGGTCCCGGCTCAGGTGGACTGGAATAATGAAGCTCGCATTTGAAAATAACACCGCCAATAACCCATTTACGGATATTTTAAAATTTACATTCGAATTAACGACTGTTTGCTTCCTAGATAACCACACTATCCCTTGCAAGACTTCAAGGCTTATCGGAGCAACCCGTTCTCACTAGTTTAAACACACGAGGGTTGGACTCGGACTAAGGCAGCAAAACAATCCAAGTGAGAAACCGCAATTTATTCTATTTGTCGTAGCTCTAATAGTGCAGTAGTTACGTAAATACAAAAGGAAAATTGGAAGCTAGGTAGACAAGCCAATCTTACGGAGTAGTCATAATACCAGCAATAACAGTTGTGGGATTGCCGCTCGGCAATGGAGGCAACCGTAACTCCAACAACAAGGGAACAAGAAAATCTCCAAAATGAGCGCCACTTATGATTCGCAATTTGTAATAACCAAATGAGAAGATATGGTAGTTAATGAATGGAGACATTTAACACCAAAAAAATTTTGCAAATCTCCCCCTTTTCTAGAACATACTTCACATCGGCATAGGAAGAAATCCCCAGTCATGTCTTCCGTTTCTAGATGAGCAAAAGTAGGAGCATTATCATTATGCATACCTGGCCGGAAATTAGGGAATGATTTTATTTTTTAATTAGAAAAAAGGGTGTTGCAGTCTCACGTCCCTCCCCTCTCACCGCTCTATATCCTTTCACTCCTACCACCACCGCTGCCACCCTCCTCACAAAACTAACAGTACACTTTTTGTCCGCTACAAAAAGATACGTGAGGATAAAAGGATTGTCGTCAAAAAAAATACAGGAATTTGATTAATGAGCTGTATTTCCGTCCAGATCTGACTTCCGTCTGCTTCTGCAAGTGTGTTAATGTGTGCGTTTGGCTTTTTTGCTTTGTGGTTAGTTGCCTCGAAAAAGGAAGCTTCAGTACACTCACCTACTTGTCTTACTAACATTGTATTTGCAGTCCTTTTCACTCTACGACGGGTTCAATTTGTGGGAATTATGATCAAGCTCAAAATGTTTTGATGATGCCTGGATTGAAGGTGGTGAAATTTCATGTCACTGCCTTTGGGGCCGAATAGAGGGTCAGTGGAAAGGTCGCATCACATGTGAAACATGGCCTTCTTTGTTCACCACAACCGTCCTTCTTATTGGAAAGGAACTGTGCGGCTCGAACGAGACATCTATGATGCATACCCATAATAGCGTAGGTATTAATGGCTTTCTCAATTAAATTTTCCCTACGGAACGCATTGAGGATTATTTTTGAGGTCCTACTAAGTACCAGATGATGATCTACAGTTGCCTAAATCTAGATGGTAAGTGCTCTTGCAGAATTTTTGGGTCAAAAGCCAGACCAAATGATAGAATATGCGATATAAAATGTATTTCCGGAGTCACATCCTGTCTACATTCATTCTTTGCAATTTTTTGCCATTTTAGTGCTGTCTAACTGCATAAATTATTGTTTTATAATCACTGTGTCAAGCAGTTCCTTAAGGGTAATTTTATTCTTTTATTATTGGCGATGTCGTTAGGCAGGAGTTGAAGGATTAAATCGTCATTAAAGCTAACACAACTTCTACCAAGATTTTATCGTGGGTTCCCTGTTGTGCAACCGGCCGCAGCACCCAAACGAAAAAGTACGAATTGATGTCCTTTGA